CCAACTTGGGCCAGTGAAGCGGCGTCCTCCACAACTAGACTGAAGAACAAAACGACAGCAACTTGTCTGTTCCCCTTCCCCCAATTCCCCACCACTGTTCCCATCCCCCCACTGTCTACTGGACAAAGTATGGAAAGCTTCAACAGCCCTTTAACGATTTTATTTTTTAAATGTGTGTTAAGGGCTGGCCGAGTAGCGCGTTGCTTGGGACTTGGCTTGGGACCCCGGCTCTGAGCAGGGGGGCCCCGGTTTGGATCCTACATGAGGGCCCGTGATGCTGCACCCTCTATAGCTAGGATAGTGAACAACAACTCGACCTGGAGCTGGGCTGCGGTGAGTCGCTGGGCCATGGAGTAGGCTACAATGGGCCTGGCCAGCAGCTGGCGTGAGCTTTCGTGAGCTGCCGTGAGCCGCCGTGAGCAGCTGTCCAATGGCCGGTGAGCGACTGCCTGACCCGGGAAGAGCACAATGATAATACAAACATGGGCCAGTGAAGCGACATCCTCCACAACGAGACTGAAGAAGAAAAGGACAGCAACTTGTCTGTTCCCCTTCCCTGATTCCCCAATGCTGTTCTCCTCCCCCAATTCCCCAATAAAATCTTAAAAAAAAAAAATGTGTGGTAAGACAGTGGCTATTATGAAGTCATGCCAAAAAATTATTAGTTACAGCTATTGCATAAGGTAATATGAGGGAGAAATACCTATTTGAAGTGCTTTCAGAAAGTTTGGATTATTTTAAATGTCAGAAAGAGAAAATTATAGCTTTCACTACAGAATTTGGGCGAATTCTTTTTGTTCATATTCTAAAATGCTTTTCATATACCCAGGTTATTGGGCCCACAGAATACAACCTTAACTCTCTATGGGGACAGCCTAGATCAGAATGGGTAGATATTTAGAAATGAGACACATCAGGATACTCCAAAGAGCACAATGATGGTTGAGAGATGGCAGTTGAAGGAGCTGGTACTACTCTTCACCCCTCTCTTCCTGGACAGATTCTGGAAGCAGGTGTAAAGCAGTGTTCCATGTGGGCAGTTGAAATTTGGGCTCTATGGCAGCCAGTGATGGGAGCCAGCCCTGGCCTGGACTGGATTCTTAACCCCAGTCTGCAGAAGCAGGGATACTGTGCAGATTATCCCAAGTAAAATCCAGGGACTACTTTATACAAATAAAGGAAAAGCTCCTAGTTACTATAGAACTGGACCTCAGACAGGTCCTGGCTGCAAGGCTAACTTGACACCAAGTCCTTTGGCCAAGGAAACTAGAACTCCTTAAATCCCCTAACATCAGCTGCTCCAGTCTCTAGGATAGGCCGCAGGCCCAGGAAGCCAGGTGGTCCTGGGGAGAACAAAGGGCAGGAGCTTTGCAGGGTTATCAAGGCTGATGTCAGTGGCCTTGTATGTTCAAAGTTAAACTTGCAAGCCCAGTTCTTCCACATTCTGCCTCAGTGATTTCTCCCTGTCTGGGCATTTTTGCCTTTTTTCATTTAAATTACAAGGAAAGATTATTATCTTCCTCCTTGTTCACTAGATAATTATGTTGCTACGGCTTCACTCTTAGACTAACGATGACCTGTGAGGCTTTGTCCAGTTCCACTCTTCATATTAATGTGTAGAATCTCATCTCTGTTTCCTACAGGTTAGGTTGGACAAGGCCTTGTATTTACTGCTGTCACCGGATACCAGTGAAAGGTCAACACCACCGCCAAGGTTTCCTCTCCCAACCACCTGAGCACATCACCACTTCCCAGTAGGAAGTGAGAGAGAAACATACACTCTGGCAGCAAGATGATGTTGTCATTGGTTGTTTTACTCTTGTTACCAGTATATTTTTAAGAGTGCTGACCTGGAAATTAAGAGACATGTGTATTAACCTGTCCTGTAATTGCCACTTTTTCTCTACCTCTCAAACTGGCTGTGATAAAATCTCTGCCAACCTCCCTACCCAGGACACATGAGGTTATATGGGTAAGATAGTTCAGTGCCCTTTGAAAATAGATAGGCAGTGTGGCGGATAAATTTCCCCAGCTCCCCAGCAGACTTAGCAGCAAAATGCAGAGCATCTGTAATCTCGATTGAAGATTATGGTTTAGGACAAGGTTAGTTCTCTTTTTGCTTAGTGTCTTCTCCTCAGCCACCAAGTTTTTCTCCAGTCTCCCCATTTGAGGAAAGTTTAGGGGCCCTTTGAAGAAGGATGGGGTTACCATGAGGTCACATTTTTCCAGATCTCTTTCTCAATTCAAACCAAAGGATTCATGCAATGAAAGAGAAAAATCTTTGATAAACCAGCCCAGATTAACAGAGGTGGTCATATCTTATACACATACTTGACAAGTAGAAGAACACTTCTGCATTACATAAGATTCAGTCCACAAAAAAAAAAGTATTATTTCTAGTGTAACTTGTTGTAAAGAGTTAAATTCTGCTGGAAAATAATCATGTTATTTTATCTTGAAGACTTTTTAATTTTGTTAAATGGCAGGAAGCGTATTAAGTACTAAGTAAAGCTTAACCTAAAATTGTATTTGAAGGCTGGGTCTTGAGACCAAGGGGAATGTAGCTACAATTTGTTTTTATTTCTTTGTGCTTTCTTTCAAACACTGTAGGCAACAGCATTATTGAAAAGAGCCCTTACAGAAGAGTATGAGGCTAGGTCAGCTGTCCACAGTCATGAATTATCTTGCAACTTGCCATCTATTCTGAATGACAATAGTGGAATAAAGGAAGCAAAACCGGCTCTGTGGCTCAACAGTGTTCTTACAAGGGAACAAGGTACTATTGGTAAATGGTCTATCCATTGCAAAAATCCAATCAGAATAACCCAACACCTTCTCTCAAGGTATACCTATAAAATAAAGGGGACTAGAGAGAGCTTCTGATCTTAATATGCATAATATGTTATTTGTTTTATACCACCTTTCAATAAATACATGATTTTGTTTAGTCCCACAGGAATAGGAAACCTAATTATAGATCTGCAGTTCTGCTGAATTTCCAATAAATTAAGTTTTTATAAGTTATGAAATCTTAAAAACTAATCACTTGGCAGTAGATAATTTTGATCATCCTACAAAGATGAAGACGATTCCATTAAAATGATTCCATAAAAAACTTCACATAAAATACTGTGAAGTTTTTTATATCACTTAGTAGAATTTACTCTTAATTTATACACTTTCTTTTTAATTATAATACAACCTTATAAAAGTCTGAACAGATGACTAAGAATCAATGAATTTATACCCCCAAAATTTAAAAAACCAATTTTTAGTATTAGGAATTGTGATTACTTCAGCATTACTGTTAGGACATGCCAGTAAAAGGCTGTAGTAGTATTTCTAAGACAGCTATGAGTTGCTCAGGATGTATTTAGAAGTTGATATACAGGCACAGGATTTGAGGCTCACTTGTTTTAAGCCCCACTCAAGTTTCGTAGATGTCAGGCTAAACTATTTTGCATAAAAACAAATGAAGATACCTTAGTTTTAGAATAGTTTTCATTTTAGGAATGGTACTATTTCAGACAAGGAATAAACTAATCAAAAAAAGAAGGTGGGGAGGTAGTGAAAATAAGAGGAATGGTAGTTAAAAAAACAAAGGCCTAATCCATAAGTATAACCCTTTAATACATTTTTATTATCATGTGTTTGGTTTTTAGGAGTTTCAAGTGGCTATGTTGATGATAGCAAAGAAGAAAGCATGGCAGTAAAGATTCCAATCACAGGTAAAATTATGGTTGCCTAAGAGGAGTCAACCTTATTATATAATCAGAACATTCTAGGTTAGTGGTTTGTGGACTCTGCTAAGAGCAGGTATGTTCTAACTACTACATGCTGGAGCAGTAGATTAACCATAAAAGCACATAGTCATAGCCTGCAAGCCTACATAACACAAACTAAGGTGGAAAATAACCGTGTCTATTGAATTTTTCCTAATCATATTGTACATTTACACATGTGAGCATCCCCTATCACGTAGCCTTTCAGCACCTGCGTCTATGTGAAAAGGTCAATCTCCAAGGGGAACACCCAGTCATTATTTGGCAAACTACAGATGTTTCTGATTTTACTCTTTTCTTTCCTGTGATAATTAAATGTGTATCATTAAAATAAGAGCAGGGAAAAAAAAGTGCCAGACAGGAAGCTTTCTTGTGCCTGAGTCACAAAGCCTGTCTGATAATTTAGAATTTTTAGCAATAAGGTTTCATCAAGACCTATTAAGATTTCTGCACATGTGTTAGGCTAGTTTAGATGAAATCTAAATATCATTACTTTTTTTAGTTTTAGAATATCAACAGCAGCAATTAGTATTCTGAGCAGGGTTCTATTTGTTGTACATCTAAATTTAGTAGTACCTTATTCTGTAAAGTGGTGTGCTATTTCATTATAAATTCAAAGGTCTGACTTTAAATATTTATACAAGTAAATACACCGTTGCACTGCTGTACTGAGGCATGCATCTACATATGTGGTAGTTGTGTTGTTTATATGCAGAAAGGAATGGCTTTTATGGCAGTACAATTCATGGCCTGATGATTAATTTTTTAAAGCCATGTTTCTGTGATGAACTCTGGTTTTGAAACAGGAGTTTATAGTAGAGCAATTATTGTATATACTCTGCATCAGTTAATATTTCACTCTAAAATACAGAGGTTTTCTCTTAAACATTTCCCAGTGATATGTTTATTGCATTTTTGTTCTTCATTTTGAGAAAACCCTGGTAGAGTTCCCTCTTTTTTAAATTTTTTATTAATAAAAGTGTAAATGATCACAAACTACAAATAACAAATAAGTCATTTGGATGCTTTTCTTTTGCATTTACCTTTGAATGCAGAAGTATCTAATGACCTCTGAATTTATTTCAGTTAAAATTGTGAAGGTTTACTGGGGAGAAACCAGGAAGTTCCCTAGCTGCCCATTCTTATTTATCTTTTAAATATTCTTTCCAATCATCCCTTGCTGCAAGTAGATGACTCTCCTCAAAATTAATGCAAATGCTGTTTTCTCATAGAATTTTTTTATTGAGGAATAATTGACATATAACAAACACTATGTTAGTTTCAGATGTACAGTGTAATAATTCAATATTTGTATACATTGCAAAATTATCACAATAGGTCTAGCTAATATTCATCATCATACCTAGTTACAAAATTTTTTTCTCTTGTAATGAGAAAAAAAATTTACTCTCCTAGCAATGTTCAAATATGTAATACAGTGTCATTAACCTTAGTCACCTCCCCATAACTTATTTATTTTATAACTGGGAATTTGTACTTTTTTGGGCCTTTCTTAAAATTTATTTTTCAATTACAGTTGACATACATTATTATATTAGTTTCAGGTGTATAACATAGTGATTAGACATTTATATAACTTATGAAGGGATCACTCTGATAAGTCTAGTACCCCCAACACCATACATAGTTATTACATTATTGACTATATTCCCTATACTGTACTTTACATCCCTGTGACTATTTTTATAACTGGCAATTTGTACTTCCTAATCCCTTCTCCTTTTCACTCATTCCCCAACACCCCTCCCATCTGGCAGCAATCAATTTGTTCTCTAAATCTATGAGTTTGTTTCTGTTTTGTTCATTTATTTTGTTTTTAGATTCCACATATAAGTGAAATCATATGGTATTTGTCTTTCTCGGTCTGACTTATTTCACCTAGCATAATACCCTCTAGGTCCATCCATTTTGCATCTAGGTTGCAAATGGTAAGATTTCATTCTTTTTTATGGCTAAGTAATATTTCATTGTATATATGTACAACATCTTTTTTATCCAATTGTCTGTTAGTAGACACTTAGGTTGCTTCTATATCTTGGTTATTGTAAATAATGCTGCTGTGAACATAGGGATGCATATTTTTTTTCAAATTAGTGTTTTGGATTTCTTCAGATAAATACCCAGAAGTGGAATTGCTAGATCATAAGGTAGTTTTATTTTTAATTTTTTGAGGAACCTCCATACAGTTTTCCATAGTGGCTGCACCAATTTACAATCCCACCAACGGTGCACAAGGGTTCCCTTTTCTCCATACCCTCACCAACACTTTTTGTTTGTTGACTTATTTGTAATAGCCATCCTGACAGATGTGAGGTGATATCTCACTGTGGTTTTAATTTGCAGCAAATTTGTACCTTTTGACCTCCTTCACTCATTTCACCCACCTTCCAACCCCTGCCTTTGGCAACAACCAATCTGTTCTCTGTATCTATCTCATAGAATTTGTTTATAAGAGAAGACATAATTAAGTACCAGAGTTTCAAATTTTTCTTCATGCAGAAAGAGGTGTGATGAGCCTAGAAGTAATAGGGCTATTTGCTATTAAAATTTTTAAAGAAATTGTAATTCCAACAACCTGCCATCAATCTATCAATAGTAGACAGTTTTTTTACAAAAATGCTTTGTGCTTGTTGCATGCCAAAGTATTAGACACAAAATAACTTGAGAGATAAGAAAAAAAAAACTTTCAAAGCCATTTACTTTGTTCAAGTGTTGCTGTTCTGTCCTTGCCACCAACCACACTGTCTTCATTCTTTGCTCCCCACCCACTGGACCTCCCAGGAAGTTAATGTTTGAGGGCCTCATTCACCTTGGCTCTGCTTAATACTATTGTTGTGTCTGTCATTGAAGCTACTTTGATCTCTAAGTTCTTTTTTTTTTTTTTTAAGATTTTATTGAGGAATTGGGAGAGGGGAACAGACAAGTTGCTGTCCTTTTGTTCTTCAGTCTAGTTGTGGAGGACGTTGCTTCACTGGCCCATGTTGGTATTATCATTGCGCTCTTCCTGGATGAGGCAGATCAGTTGCCGGCCTCTGGATAGCCGTTCACGGCGGCCCTTGGCAGCTCACACCAGCTGCCGGCTGCTCACGCTGGCTGCTAGCCACCCACAGTAGCTTATGGCAGCCCACTGCAGCAGGGGCTGCAGCCTATGCCATCGCCGGCGACTCATGGCAGCCCAGCTACAGGTCGAGCTGTTGTTCACCATCTTAGCTGTAGAGGGCAGTGTAATTGGCCCTCATGTGGGATCTAAACCGGGGCCCTGTTGCTCAGAGCTGGTGTCCCAAGCCAACTGTTAACCAACATGCCACTCGGCCGGCCTGATCTCTAAGTTCTTGACCGTCATTTCTTTATTAAATTTTTGTATCTTTTGTCATAATTATTTGGAGAGTTGGCCTTTGGTGAGGCAAGACAAGTGTACAGTTTGATTTAAGATAGATCCTGCCTCCTCCTTTGTAATACTTCTGTTGAGGCTTTCCTGTTTGTATGGGCTGCATTCCTTCTAGAATATTCTAAAGAAAAGGAACATTCCAGAGGCTGCCCTCTGGAAGTTGAGGAGATGTGGCAATTGAGGCTGGGCTTTGACATCAGCCGTCAGTGTCTGCTCTTTACACTCTGCTCATTTTTTCACCTCTCTAAGCTTCTGTATTAGAAAATTAGACATACATAGTACATGGCAAGATTGTCTTAAAGTTTAAATAAGGTCATGTGTATGAAAGTGTCAAGCGTGTATGAAACACTCATACATGTTAGCTGTGATTCTACTAATAATATTAATGTGACTGTTAGTAGTAGTTTTGGTCTTATGCACTGGCCCCCACATTTCAATCCAGTGACATCTAGTTAAAAGGAACCTCGCAAAACAAATTCAAAGAGAAAAAGAAGCAGGGGCGATAGGGGTGCTGTGCCACAGGAGGAGTAAGCCTGAGATGAGTCCCAGAAGGGCACCTGGACACTGCCAGTCTGTTTGTTATTCTGACGGCTGCTCGCCTTCCTCAGTTGCAGTGCTGCTCTAATGCCTCATAGACCATGCTTTCCTGATAGTACCACTAAATGAGTGTCTGTAAGAATTTTCCACTTGAGAACTCTGGATTTGAATCCAGAAGGATGTTTACTTATCAAAAAAACTTGTAGAGAGTTTTATGCTACTTTTGGAACTTCTAATTAGTCCCATGAAGAAACCCTTTAAGAAGAATCACAAAAAGCTGATGAAGTGGCTACTGGGTGGTCTCTCTGGTCAAGGCCCCGCTGTCTCTGCCTTATGTGCACACATGTGAGGACATTGCAGGGTTCCTGATCACCAGGTAGCAGTCCTCCCTACTGTGCCGCCTCACAAGGTTGATGATCAGATGCAGCATTTTCCTAAATGTGATGTGTGCAGTACTCCACCCAGAAGATACTGCAAGGAATGCATATCTTGTGACTAAACTCTGGTCTGGTCTCTCTCTCCCTCTGCAGCATGCACAACACACAGGAGCATGTTGAAGACTTTTAGAAGACTATTAGTAAATGAACTGTTTAAAGTGTGAACGTAGAGTCAAATAACTTACTTTCTATTTGAAAATATAATCCTTCCTATAAATAGCCAACAAAATTAATGTTCTGTGGAACATGTACACACATGTGGAACGTTTTTTAAAACCTTAAGTCCAATGAGAGCACCAATTTTCTCAATAAACTAAAATTATCATCAACATTTTCCTGTGGTTCCTTTTTGTGGGAACCTCCCTTGTTGTGGATGAGATTGCTTTATAATGACACTTAGGGCTACTTTAGTGTAACTAAACATAGATGATGCTATGATTAAAATTTACTTGTTCAAGCTGCTCCCCAAACTGATCACCAGCAGGTTACAATGGTAATTCTTAGTAGTGGGAAAATGCACTTCACTGTGTGTCCTTCTGTGTGGCTTTATTTGCTTTGCAGCC